TCTATCCTCTATCCTCTATCCTCTTTCCTCTTTCCTCTTTCCTCTATCCTTTATCCTTTATCCTCTATCCTCTATACTCTATACTCTATCCTCCATCCTCTATATCTATCCTTTATCCTCTTTCCTTTATCCTCTTTCCTCTATCCTCTATCCTCTATCTATCCTTTATCCTTTATCCTCTATCCTCTATCCTCTATCCCCTATCCTCTATCCTTTATCCTCTATCTATCCTCTATCCTCTATCTATCTATATCATTATTCTTATCCCTATATCTCTCTCTAAAGCATTCCATCTTCGACTTTCCCCTAGTTAATTATTTCTACTCTCTCCGCTCTTCTTTTTGTCTTTTGCGCCTCACTAATTAAATGATGCCTGCATCCAGTTGCAGTTCCAATTCCAATTTAATACGCAGTCGCATCTCTGATGTAGGCGCTTAATTAAATTAACAAACTTGTCTGATGTTTATCTGTCATTATTAATAAGCAGATCTCTGCAGATATAGCACATATATCCGCTGAGCAGGTCTTAATTATGACAGTGCGCACGAGCTAACCAACTGCACGCATTCACTTCAAAGATACTGAGGAGTCGTCACGGCTACAGATACATTCACAGCTATTTAGATACAGATACACATTTACAGTTAACAAATTGCGCCTCTTTCATTGGCTAACCAGGTATATACACACACACGCATACACACACACACATGTGTGTATTTATGTACAAGATTCGTGTCAGCTATCGGCTAAATGTATCTGTGTGTAGTCGACGCTCGTTTATGTATCTGCATCTGTGGCTGAAGGCGTGGCATGGGTGGGCCGAAGATACATATCGTTTGGCAGCAGAAAAGCAGGTCAGAAGCAAGGCACAAAAGCATTTTTAGTTAAGATTAATGCAGACCAATCTCGTCAGAGTGCTTAAGACTCGAGACACTTGATAAGACTTTAAGAATTTCAGACTGCAAAGCTGAACTAGCTTCGAGAAAGCTCAACGTATGCTTGTTAAACTATTTTATAAAGAAGTTTTGCTTAAGAATTGAAGTCAAAATACAGCTCAATCAAAATTGATTGATTGATTGAGTGGCAGTGAAAGGCGAGGTACTGAATGGTTGTCTGATTGACTGATTGTTGATTAGCTGATGGATTGACTGATTGACTAACTGAAAGCTACTTGATTGAGAGATTGACTGATTGACTGATTGAGTCATTGACAGTAACAAGGACAATTTGGCTGACTGACTGCTTGATCTGTAGACTGTTAGAAATAATGATATAAAATGAAATACATACTATTTGATTGACTGATTGATCGCTAGGCTGTTGTCTATGATTGACTGATTGAGTAACTCGTTAACTGATGGACATACGCAACGACTCACTAACAGTCAGGCATTTCTGACTGATTGGCTCAGCAACTGGCAAGCTGATTGAGCCTTTGATTGACTGACTGATTGATTAGTAGGAAGATTGAGCTGATTGATTGAGTAATTCGTACACTGATTAACATACTGACCGACTCACTATTAGTCTGGCACTGTGTGATTGATTGAGTGTTTGATTGATTGACTGAGCAACTGACCCTCTGACTGATTGACGACACACTATTGAGCACATATGCTTCTTATAGTCTCCACTTTCTGCTTTAACTTCCAATTTTCTCTAGTTCCTCTAGTAATCTAACTAAATTGTTCCTTGGCTGACTGAACTTCTCACTTGCCCAGTTTTCTTTTAGATATTCTTGCCAGCTTTAAGATTTGTGAATTTACACACAGCAATTGATCTGCGCACGATCTGAGACGACATGCCCAGCCTCCTACAGATTTCTCTCTCTCTCTCTTCGCTCTTCCTGAACTCAATTGAAATTTCTATCGCCTCGAACGTGCCGTGCAATTGTGTTATGTAAATCGATATCGATCTGGTTATGGATCGCGCAATTAGATTGATTGATTGGCATTCAGGACACGCAGCACCAAACACAGCAGCAGCAGCAGCAGCAGCCTTAACAATGCAGACCTCAAGACACAGAGAGCTCTAAATTCTTTGGCTGGCATTTGCGGGCGGTTTGTTTTTGTGCGCAATTTATAAAGTTGCTGACACAATATAATAGCTGGCAGGATAGCGCAAGGATCACGGTTAGAGCAAGCCAAGCCACGGCAAGGCAAGGCTGGGCCAGACAAGGACCAAGCCCAAGCACCTCCGCCTTTAATTCTCGCGAAAAATTAAAAAGGAGCTGCAGCCGAAAAGTATTGTATTACCATTTAGAGAGGGAGACACAGCGAGAGAGAGAGACAGAGAGAGAGAGTGAGAGCGAGGGAGATCCCAGTTGTGTCGCCTTGATAAGACTCCAAGGCTATAAAAAGGGTCCTTAAAGACAATAGGGAGCCGCAGCCGCAGCAGCAGCAGCGTTTCCTTGCGCCTTGTTCTCTCTCTCTCTCTCTCTCTCTCGCTGGTTCCTTATCACAGATCAAATTTCAAGAGCGAACGCTGGGAAAGGATGTGCCAGGAGCTGCTTTGGAACCAAATCTAAGTAAGCCTCAAAACAATTGAATAAAAAAGCTTTTGTTGGGCTTAACTAAAGTCAATCGCATAGAGAACTTAGACTCGAGCTATGTAACTTTGTAATATTGATAAAAAAAGGATTGAAATAGAATTAGAGATCATGAAATATATATGCTTAAGCGTACACAAGATGAAAAGCTTAAACAAATTATGAAGAGTTTATAAATTTTATTATTGAGAGCCTTCAGAAGAGCTATTTATCTATAACTGTTTCAGCTTAGCTTCACATAGCTTTGGACTTGATTCAGCTTGAATTATATAAGAAGAAGCAGAATCTGTTCAATCTAAATGGATTTACAAAACAGTTGAGAGTCTGGCAAAGCCTCTCCTTTGCCTTCCAATACTTCTATAGGAATCTCTCTTCTTTCAGCTTTCATCTGAGCTCTGGCAAGCCAAGTCCAGTCAAGTCAATGGACGCTGTATGGATGGCTAGGCGTTACATAAGTTCCAACTAAGGCTGTGAATGCTGTGACAAAGAGCGTTTAAACGATTCGTCAGAACTGAAGACCTTCATTAAGTTTTCAGCCAGAATTTGGTAACTTGTTCTACGTTCGCCTTTTATGACCCCAACACACACAGACACACTCTTTTTAATACATATACAAAATTTCACAATTTTGCTTGCTTGGGTCTTTATTTAGTTTTTTTTTTTTTTTTTTTTTTTTGTGGCCCTGGCGCTGTGTCCAGATCCAAGAGCCAAGTGCGTTTTGACCTCTTCTTGGGTACGTGCCTGGCCTCAGAGTGTGACAAACTGGTTCAAGTTGCTGTCAGTTGTCAGTTGTTGTAAGTTGTTAACTGTTGTTGTTGTTGTTGCTTTTATGACTTAATGCCGCGTACGCCACGCAATTTCAATTACAGACAAATGCGTCGACCCAGCGAGTAGCAACTACAGCTGTAAGCTATACACAACCGTTACACACACACACACACCTACACACACACGCACACACACTTGTCTACAACTAGCCCAACACTTTCATTAGGCTGCTGCGCCGTGCTCCAGGTGACAAAAAGCCAAAGAAGCACTTCTGTCTCAGAAGCAACGCATAATTTATGAAAGACTAAGCGAATTAAGGCTGCGCGACTAGCAGATGCCCTGTAGACAAAAAGGAAGCGAAGGTTGGCAAGAAAATAAACAATGCTTAGTAAGCAATACAAATATGAAACAAAATACACACATGAGCACAAGCGCTGCACGGCTTGCAGATACCCTACAAGCTGCCTAACACTTGTCACACACAGCCTAACACAAGGAACAGCTTAGCCGTTATTCTTGTTCTCACACACGCACATAGACATGTACTTTAAAGTCTGTGCGACTAGCAGATACCCTAGGCTGCAGCGGAAAAGTCGCGTAGCTCAAGGATTGCTGCAGCTTTTACTCTCTTTTGCCTGATATGAAGTGCTGCATATAAATTCTTAGTCACATATACCTCCAACGTTTCTAGGGTTACAGGGTATTACAAAAAAGTAGACTCCTAACTGGACTATGGATATGACCTCCAAGCTTAACCCAGGCACGTGTCGGTCTTTATGAAATTCGCCCCGAGTTTGCTGTAGTTCTGCTAGTTCCATATTTTTTATTGCCATTCTTGTTCTTCTTATTCTTCTTTCAGCTAGTTGCATGTATTTTTGATGTTTAGACGGCAACAATTGGGGCGAGCTTTGAATTTAATCAAGCGCCACACGAAAATATTTGCATAGCAAAGCAGCTGCAAGTGCAAGGCGAATGCATTTTTTATATAAGGCACAGCCAAAGTAGCTAATAAACAAATATATATAAATATATACATATACATATATATATATATATACGAGTGCATCCATACCTATATACAGTTACAATGCGCAAATGAGAATCACATTGCAGTAGCAATTGATCGTGCAAACAGAACTTAGATTTTTGATTGGATCGCAACACTTAAATAAACACACGCATTGTTTTTTTTACTAAATTCAATATACTGAAACACATTTTACACTTGCGCAAAACCAAAAGAAAAAGAAAAATCATAATTTAAATTGCAAAAATTTGCGCCATTTCGCGAACAGATGATGACACAGTGTAACCGTATATTTCCTAAGGAAATATATCGATATATGTAGAGCGAGGCGCATTGCTGCGTTAACACTGCTCACTTTGAGTTACCAGTGTCTTATGAGTTAACAGATTCGTTTTTGCGTTGCTCGAAAGGGTGAGCAGGCTACAAGCTAAGATGCCAATTCAAATAAGAACTACTGCAATATATTTAAGGAATAGCACACTAGCTTAGGGGCTGAAGATAAGTACAATTTAGGTTTTTTGGTATAAATTTGCATAAAATATATTTATTTTCGATCAACAGTTCGGTAACATGCCGCATATTACCGGTCTGGTAGCTAACATTTTTATTAACAGCTGTGCTGCGCCTTAACATATCGCTTAGTTCCGATAATCGAAGAATTCATTCGAAGAAATAACATTGAACGGGACGGACGCTAAAATGCTTAACTGAAGATAGTTGTGGGTGTTTTTTTATACAGTGATTTTGTACGCGCCCGCGCCGCTTCAGCCCAAAACGCAAAGAGGACGAACGAGGAAGTCACGCATAAAATCAAAAAATAAAAAATATTGAAAAGCAAATAAAATAGAAACGTGCAATTTTTGAAGTTTAAAGTCAGTTAAACGATACCGTTAAACAATAGTAGCAACAACAAATCAAAACTAATCATGTTCTCGTGCAAATGCATGAATTTACAAGCCGGGTACTCTGATAACGACGATAATAACAACAGCAATGGGATTGACATGGTTGTGATGCATATTAAATTTAAGAAGGATTATCAGAATTTTACCTACGATGATAGTTTTACAAATTTCTTCAATCGTGTAAGTCGCAACAGCATATATTTATATATATATTCATTCACATACACAAATGAAACACATATATTTTATATATGTGCGTATATTTTAATTATAAGCATTTTATCGCATTCTGCTTTATGCGCAGCGTAACCATTTTCCACGCAGCATAGGGCCTAACTACACACCCAAACGTACATACACACATACATTCATACGTATGCTGTGTGCGTGTGTATTATCGTTCTTTATGCTTTGTTTGCCGGCCGTACCGCTGTTGTCTGCCTATTCTTGACACACACACACATACAAACGTACGCATAGATATGTATGCGTCAGTGAACCAGCGTGCGAGGAGCAGCAAAACAAAATAGGGTCATTCATGAAAAAAAAAAACACGGCCTTTTGTTGTTGGCCGGCCTAAGAAATTGCCTCTCTTCCTTTTGCCTGACAATTGGTACTTTTTTGTATTTAATGCACAGTTAGCAATGTCGGTGTAAGCATGTGTGTGTATATTGAATGCTTGTGCGCACTGCTTTAATTTTGCCCTACACCTGTTTTTGCCTACTTCGCTCCTTCGTTAGAGACACCCTGTATATATGCTCGCTTCTGCCTGTTATTTTTCTATATGCTTCTGTATACTTCTATCTCTTTCGAACCGATCGCTTTTATTTTTTAGGTTCATTTGCTTCGTATTGTTTTTGTTTTTAATTATTTAATTATTTTGAATCCTAGTTTGTAGGAATTGCTAAACTGTCGTTTTATTGTATTTTATCGTATATTGTTATCATTCACAGATCTTTTAGGTAGATTAGGTAGATTCAGGTAATTCCCATTTAGAACTTATATGACTTCAATCCTTTCACTTTTAATATATTATAAATACTTAAAATGTTGTTAGATTCTATTAAGAAAAATTAGAGACATGATAGAGATATGATAAATGCAATATGTATAGTATGATCGATTAAATGAAGTTTAAAATATGAAAACTATAAGAAAAAATAAGATTTTATGTATCATATATAACTGTTAGATCTGAAATATATCAAAAGTTCGCTTTTTAATTAAAGAAAATCTTAATAGAATATATGAATATATAGAATATACATATATATCATGACTAATGTTTGAATATCAAAACGCTATTATTTTGACGATGACAACGCAAAAATTAAAAAACAAAATACTCTAGACAAGACGCGACACGCGTAAAGATGCAAAAAAAAACACTTTGACTTTACAGACATGTGTGTGTGTATATGTGTCGTATTTCAAGGTTAAATCAAATAACAGCTGTTAGTTGACCATTTTCGCCGTTTCTTCTGTTTTTCTGTTTCGCCGTGGCTTAAGCCAATTGCACGTGTCACCGTTTGACAGTCACACTGCTCATACTGACAGCGCTGTTCAAACTGCTGCAGCAGTAGAAGAGGAGCTTCAATAACAATTTGATATGCATATGTTAAGCAGCTGGGCTGGCCACACCCATTGCGCAAGCAATTCAACCCAACCCCACCCCCACTGTCTCTTTCTCTTTCTCTCTCTCTCTCTCTCTTTCTCTCTCTGTTGCTCTTGTGGGGTTTGCATAATGCGTTTATTTTGATGGAAATTGAATTGTTATGCATTATTGTTATTGTTGTTGTTTTTTGTTGCGGTCTGGAGATCGTGCAAAAGTTCTTCAGTATTGTTGCTGTTGTTGTTTTGCACCCACTTGAAAAGCGGTGAGGCGTACAACAACAACAATAACATTAACAACAAATAGACCAAAAGTGTTATATTGAATAATTCAAAGCGCAAAACAAAGCAGCAGCAAAACAAAAAAACTGTATATCTATACATATAAAAAGTGAGTATTTAAATACATATGTATGTACATACATAAATATGTAGAAGAAGAAAAATACTCGTATGTATGTGTATCGAGCCCAAAACGGAACGCTTTTAGAATAAATTACGAAACTGACGACAAACACAAGCACAGCAAAAGAAGAGGAAGAAGCAGAATAAGGAAGGCAGCAGTAGCAGCAGCAGCCGCCGAAAAATAACAAAAGCAAAAGCAGCAACAAGAACAACAACAGCAGCAGCCGCAAAGGCAAAGGCAGAGCAGAAAAAAATAAACTTGTTTATACATTTTGTTGTATAAACAAGTTTTAAGATTTCCAAATGCGACCAATGGCCAGCGAGCGACGGGGGTTGGGTGGAGGAGGATGAGGAGGGAGTGGGCTAGCCTGTCATATGTAGGGCAGGGTATAGGACAGAGCAGCAACAACACACGAGGCAGTTGACAAGCAGCTTCTTTTGTAGCACTCCCGTCTCCCTTTGCCCTTCTTCTCGTCTCGCTCACTCAACTTCAACTGATTATCTTTATGTATTGATGCGTAGGCCTCTGTTTGATTGTCTTAAGTTGAAGTTGAAATTATGCATAAAAGAAATAAAAATAAAAATATAAATATCAAAATGTGGTCTGGTAGCGTTATAAACAAGGCTATTTAAGAGTTTAATAGGCAAATGTGAAATGTGTGCGGCGCGTGTGTTGCACTGCATTCAGTCAGTCAGCTATAAAAATATTTATTTACATAAAAATCATCAACAACACGAAAAAGAATACAGCTAAGTTAGGAGCAACAGAAGCAGCAACAGATAAACAGTTAAACTGTGAATTCTGTTCTTTTCTGTCCACCCATATATATAACAGTTGCATATTGCATGAACACATATAAACTGTTATATGTTAATAGTGCTCCACTGTAATTGCAGTTCTATACATTGTAATAATGCTTTACATGCAAACTGTTATACGTATTTCAAAAGTGTTATATATTAATAGCAAGCTTAGGTGAAGCGTGCTTTTCTTATAGACAGTTGAGTTACTGTTATACGTACTGATAAATTGTTAAATATATTCACAGCAAGCGTAGTTTACTCCAGATTATGTAAAGCTGCTGTTATATATATATAGTCCCAATACTGTTATACGTTTTTATAAACTATTCTATATTCACAGCAAGCGCAGCTTAACGCGGTTTTATATTGCCCCAACTGCTGTTATGGAAATCAGCTAAAGTGGATTACTATATAGCAGGCTTTAATCGTTCCTACAAACTTTTATACGTATGCGTCCTCTCAGTTGAACTTATGTACAGCTGCTTCAGTGCTCGACTACTTAACGGACTATAGTTATATGTTAACAGCGACTTATGTGAAAAAGCAATTGATGCTGCTAAGTCTTTGCATCATGTAAACACTCGCACACACACACTCGAACACACCCGCTGACATACAGCTCTTATCAACATTTTTAGTTTGTGTCCAGTTTAACACCCCAAGCAAAACTCACACTACAGACTTTTTTTCTAGGTTATCAAACGGTAAAAATGACAACAACAATAGCATAGAGTGAATTTGTTGCTGACGTCGCGTCGCGTCGCTTGCTTCGTGCCTTAATTGATTTATTTATGATTAGATTCATAATTAGTTTGTTTTTTTTTTTTTTAGCTCTTTACAAATTTGTTTATTGTCCGTCTGCTGATGCCTCTCCCTCTCTCTCCATCTCCTTCACTCTGCATTCAATGAAATGCCGCACCTGCAGACAGAGAAAAAAAAACTGTAGCGACATTTTAATTAGCATGACAAAACGCTGTTAAATAATGTATTTCAATTGAGCGAGAGAAAAATTAAAGAGAAGAAAAAACAAGCTCGGCTCAAATAACAATAATAAAGATATTAAAATGCAAATGTGTATGCATAAATTTGTTATATTTGCATAATTATTTATAGTTGCGGCTGACGAAATCAAAACAAAAGAGAAAACTCTTTGCCCACACTTAACAGCCAATCAATCAAAGAGAGAGAGAGAGAGAGAAACTAAATGCAATGCATGCAATATTCTAAATATAGTTATTATCAAATAAAAAGTAAAGAACTAAAGGGAATAGTAAAAATATGATAACTGCAAATGAATGAAAGAAACAGGAATTGAAAGAAAATTTTGTTTTCGAATGCAGCTGCTGTTATCAGCTCAGTGACTGTCAAATTCGTTCAATTTTTAATGGTGTGTTGCTTGGCCGTACTTCTCAAACGGTCTACCAAGCCCCTCACTTGTTGCCACAGCCTATTGTGATTGTCAAACCTCATGATTTGAAGCGTTATTTGTGACTGTCAAACCTACATTGCTTGTAAAACTGCCGCACATGCCAGTTGCTCGAGCTGTATGAATTACAGTGCTCGAAAAACTGTCTGGCACACCCTGACTTATCAGCAACAAACTATTTGTGGCTGTTAAACTGTTCAGTGTTTGACTTTTTAATTGCACAGATTATATTAATTATCTCTTATTATAATGCATATATGATTATGTCTATATTATATATATATGATTTTTCTAATCAACATTTTAATATTTTTGCATGACTAGCCAAATCCAAATATTGTTTGTGCAAAATAATTTCATTCTCAAAAAATAAGAAAAAAAGTTAAACAATTTAAATTGAGTAAATTTGGTAAAAGACGCGATAAACCTTATATAATTTGCTATATGTGTAAACTCTATATGAAGTAATTGACTACCACAAACAACAACAGCAACAATAACATTAACGAAAAACATCCCCCTTAAACATAAACCACAAATCAGAATGCACAAGGTCACAGTTTGACAGCCGCTGATCAGAACAATTATAATTATTGTAAGAAAGCAAAGCATTGTTGCTCTCACCCACTCTCTCAATCTCTCTCTCTCTCTAGCACTCTTTCTCAGTCAAGCAGAGCAGCGTGTGTCGCTTAATTGAAAACCAATGTTAATCTTTAACAAATATAACCTTGACAGTAGCAGCAGCGGCAGTAATAGCAACAACAATTGTCCAATGTTGCCAGATTGTTAAACTTTTAACCTCTTAGCAGACCTCGCTGTAGCAGCAGGCGGCAGGCATCCACAGCAGCAGGCATTGACCACATGCACTCGATTGGCCGCCTTTGCCAGTGTTGCCAATTTGCATGTAAACAAAACTATAAATTCACAAATGGCT